TTGAGAGGTTTTTGCTGTAGGGCGCATGCGCTCGCCAGAAAGAGACAGACAGAAAGCTAGAAATCACCCCCCAGGGGGGATGGCCATACTGCAATCGCTGCTCCTCCATTCTCCTCTTGGGATCTTGGGCACACACGCACATGCGCCCAGCTTGAGTTTAAGCCACCAGGTCCGGGACTCAAACTGCGGTCGACTATGTGGGAGTCCAGCGACATAGCCATTGCGTTAACTGCTGGTCCCCAGGTAGTTGTATTCTTATCAACTGAGTGAGGCACTTGGTTTGGGGCAAGAGAAAAAAAAAGAGAAAACATGGGATTTCAGGTCAAGGCTGGAGGAAATCTTGTGTGAATTTGAAAATGTCCTCACTGTCAAGTAGTACCAGATTTATTCGGAGCTCTGAAAGGAACTTGAAAGTCATGGTAGGTGAGATAATCTAGGGGTGAATAGATAATGATTTGTGCTATATTTTTTTGGAATGGGCACAAACAGATCAAAATATGACCTATTTTATTTTATTTCTGCTCTGTTTGGGTAATCCATTTTAGCTTTATTAATATTCACTGCTGATTGAGTATGTTTGCTTCCTAAAAATCCTTTTGGTGCTTATTCAATATTTTCCAATGCTGAAGTTGCCTATTATTTATTGTCATATAATTCATCTTTATTACCTGGTGATTTTAATAAATTATTATTATTTTTTGTACTTCTTGACTATACTTTCTTTTGATCATTGAAACCTTTATAATGTCATGGCCTTAAGTATCAAGATCAGTGTGTAGGGAGGAAGGCATTTTAGCTAGATGATCTATTAGACTTACATTTCTTTCATCTGGGTCTCATAAATTTCTAATTTTTCCCCACTTTTATTTCCCAGTTAATCATCCCTTAAAACCTCATGAGTTGGTATGATAGGTATATATCATGACCGTAAGGACTTGCAAACAGACACAGAGAGTCCAGGTGATTTACCCCAGGAAGCATTATCAGGATGAGAGTTCAGATCTTCAGAATCTTGGTCTGGCATTGTTCACTGGTGTCTTTCCTATTTCAGGGCTTGCTTTCTTTCAGGGCTAAAGGGCAAAATAGCTGTCATGGTCAGAATTCACCCTGAGTGTTGGTGGAGAAGGAATCCTGTCTTTTATAGACAGCAGGGAAGGAAGAAGAGGGTAGTCAAGCAATAGGCCAGTCTCAGGTATAGTTAATCAAATCTCACTCCAGGCCTCACCTCTGGGTGGACTATAGTAACCTGATTTCATCTGTGAATTTGTCACAGAGTGGGGTAGGAAGCTGAGTGGAGAGACAGGGAATGGAACAGGATGAGGGCAACTGCTTCTTTTGTTTTAGAAATATGTGTGACACTTGTGAAACTTGTGCTGTTTTTTGTATCAGCCCTTCAAGATAAGACTGAAGAGAGGATGGGATCACCATTGGTGTGGAGGTTAAAGTATTGGATCCCACATGGTCAGCCTTGCAGTTTGAGTCCTTGACTCAGTGGCTTGAGAATAACACCAGGCATATATGCGTATGTGCCCCCAAATATCAAGAGAGGGTGTGGGTGAGGAGGGAATGCTGTGTGGCCACCCCCTAGGGAGTGATTTCTCATTTTCCTCCTTCTATCTCGCCATCTATCTCTCTCTGGTGAGTACATACCCCCTATAGCAAAAAATTAAAATAATAACTAAGTAAAAAGATTGAAGAATGGCAGCAATATTAAGACAGATACCTTTGCTGGGCCAAGGTACCTTAAGCAGTATAATTTTCAACTCCCATTATAGTTAAATTAATGCATGTCAGTACATAAATATGTGTGGAAACATTTTTAAGATTTAAGAGTTATGCACGCCCGGCACGTGTGCGTGCGTGCCCAAGATCCCAAGAGGAGAGTAGAAGAGAAGGGATTGCGGTGTGGACCATCCCCCCTGGGGGGTTATTTCTCGCTTTCTGTCTCTCTGTCTCTCTCTGTCTGGCGAGCGCATGCGCCCTATAACAAAAAAAAAAAAAGATTTAAGAGTTATGAATATCATTAACAATAGCCAAAATAAAATGAGTACTTGCTATGTATGAGGCATAATTCTAACTCTTGACCTATATTATCTTATTTAATTCTCTTAAACAGCCCTATGAGATAGTTCTCTTTATTATCTGCATTTAACTTGTATGGAAAGTGAGGCAAGAGGAGCTCAATTTCCCATTGTACATAGTGGTAGAACCTTTATCAAACCTAAGTGGACAAAGTCTAGATCTAATGCTATTAGCTACTATAGAGCGATCATCAAAAAGTTCATGGAAATATGGAATTAAAGTATGAGTTTATTGGGGCCAGCAGGTGGCATAGTGGTTAAAGCAGTGGACTCCCACATGGCTGACTGCAGTTACAGTGCTGGACCCAGTGACTTGAAAATCACTCTGGGCATGTGTGCATGTGTGCCCCAAATCCCAGGAGAACAAGGGAGGAGAAAGGATTATGGCATGGCCATCCGCCCTTGGGGAGTGATTTCTCACTTTCCTTCTCATTGTCTCTCTGTTTCTCTCTGGCAAGCGTAAGTGCCCTATGGCAAAAACCTTTAAAAAAAAAAGTATGAGTTTATTTTGATGTAAAATATTTAAAAATCTATGCATAGTCTTTTTAATATGCATTTTACATGAACTTTTTGAAGACTCCTTGTATTTACTTTCAATAAAAATGTTAATAAACATTTGCTGTAAAGTTTCTTATTATTCTGACTATTAGAGTGTAATGAATATTAAATATAGTATTCTGCAC